GGCAAAACAGGGCTTTTTTTTTTCCCTTTTTTTCTCCCTTTTCAATGAGCCCTGTGTCCATGGGTGGGGGATGGGCTGGGATCTTAAAGGCGCTGGATTTCCCGAATTATTAACCAATTCTTGCCATAATTAACCCAGGAATCTGCTGCGCGCCTGAGCCTGCAGGGTGCTGGCCCTTTAAGAGCGCCAAAAAAGCAAAATTTGAGGGGGAATAATAATTTTTTTTCCTTATTTGCTGCGTTTTTTTTAAAACCAGGAATGTAGAGGTTTTTTTTTTTGGATGTGCGTGGTTGTATGCCTTAATTTGGGGATTTTGGGGGAAAATAGGAGCAGGTGAGGTGGGAACCACGAGGGAAATACCCAAAAATGAGCAGTTTGGGGATTGAGGGGGGGGCAGGTGGTTTTGGGGTGATTTAGGGGGAATCGGGATGCGCCTGGATGTGGCACCGTGTCGGACTGAAACCGCCGTTTCGGGGGGAAAATGGGTGGATTTGCCTTAATTAGGGGGAAATTTTCTAATTGCTTTTTGTGCCTTTTTCCCCATTTTTGACCTTTTTCCCCATTTATGACCCTTTTCCCCATTTTTGACCTTTTTCTTGGTTTTGACCCTTTTCTCCGTTTTTTGGCCTTTTTCCCAATGTCGCCACTTTTCAGCTCTTTTCTCCCGTTCCCCATTTTTAGTCTTTCTCCCTCTTTTCAACCTTTTTCTCCACTTTTCCACCTTTTCCCCCTTTTATTTCCCCATTTCCCCTTTTTTCCTTACATTTTCTCATTTTGCCCATTTCCTCTTTTTCCTTTTATCCCTTTTCCTGCTCATCCTATTCCCCATTTTCCCCCTTTTTGCCCTTTTTTTCTCATCTTTTCGTTCTTTACCTTCTTTTTTCTCCTCTTCTGTTTTCCCTTTTTCCCTCTTTTCTCCATTTCCTTTTTTCACTTTTTTACCTCCTTTTCCCCCATTTTTGCCTTTCCTCCTTTTTTTCCCCTTTTCTCCCCTTTCCTCCCATTTTCCCTCTTTTTTCACTTTTTCCTCTTTCCCCCTTTTATTCCCCTTTTCCCATCTTTTTCCTTTTTTCCTTTTTCCCTCTTTTCCCTCCGTTCCTCCTTTTCCCCCTTTTTCTCTTTTCCTCCCCTTCCCCTCTTTTTCCGCCTTCCCCCCCTTTTCCTCTTTTCCCTCCTTTTTTCCCTTTTTTTCTTCTTTCCTCTTTTCCCTCTTTTTCCTCTTTTTTCCTCTTTTCCCTCCCTGTTCTCATTTTCTCCCTTTCCCCCTTCCCCCTCAATTTTTACCTTTCCCCCCTCTTTCTCTCCTTTTTTCCTCTTTTTCTCACCTTTTTTTCACATTTTTCACCTTTTTTCCCCATTTTTACCTCATTTTCTCCCCCATTTCCCCCTTTTTGTATCCTTTTGTTCCACCTCTCCTCCCCTGCACACCTTTTTTTGAGGGGAAATTGGGCAAAATTGGTCCAACCCCGCAGGGGAGAATCAGCCATACGCGGAGGAGGGGGGGGCGGGGGGTCCAGGGCAGTTTTGGGGTGTTTTGCTGCATTTTGGGGTATCAGGGCTCTGTTTCGGGCTGGTTTGGGGCAGTTTTGGGGTGTTCTGGGGCAGGTTTGGGGTCGTTTCCTGGTGGTTTTTATTTTTGGAGGTTTTAGGGGGGTTCAGGGCATCACAGCTGTTTTTTTGGGGTGTTTCTGGGTGTTTTGGGGTGTATTTCAGAGCAGCATTTTTGGGTGTTCTGGGGCCATATTTTGGGATGATTTAGGCGAGTTTTGGGGTGTCTCAGGGCAGTTTTGGGGTATTTTGGGACAATTTTGGAATGTTTCAGGGCAGTTTGGGGATGTTTCAGGACAGTTTTGGGTGTTTCAGGACAGTTTTTGGGTGTTTCAGGAGAATTTTGGGGTGTTTCAGGACAGTTTTGGGGTGTTTCAGGGCAATTTTGGGATGTTTCAGGACAGTTTTGGGATGTCTCAGGGCAGTTTTGGGGTGTTTCAGGGCAGTTTTGGGGTATTTCGGGACAATTTTGGGATGTTTCAGGGCAGTTTTGGGGTGTTTCAGGGAAGTTTGGGGTGTTTCAGGGCTGTTTCAAGGTGACCATTTGGGGTGTTTCAGGGTGGCATTTTTGGGGTGCTGTGACTGCATTTTGGGGCATTTCAGCATATTCCAGGGCAGCATTTTGGGGAGTTTTGGGGCATTTTGGTCATTGCAGAAGCGTTTTGGAGTCTTGGGCATTTGGGGGATGTTCTGCATGACAGCAGTGTTTCGGGGTGTTTCTTTTGGGGTGTCAGGGCAGCTTTTTGAGGCATTTTAGGGTGTTTCTGGGCAATGTTTCAGAACAGCCTTTTGGGGTCTTTCCCCATGGCATTTTGGGGTGTCAGGGCGGTGTTTTTGAGCATTTTGAGGTGCTTTGAGGTGTTCTGGGGCAGTGTTTGGGGGCATTTTGGAGCATTTTGGGGCAGTGTTTCAGGACAGCATTTTAGGGTGTTTCTGAGTGTTCAAAGGTGGCATTTTGGGATGTTTTGGAGCACTTCAAAGTATTTCAGTTTTTGTTTGGGGTGGCATTTTGGGACATTTCAGGGTGACATTTCAGAGCATTGTGGCTTTTGGGGGTGTTTCGGGGTGATGTTTCAGGATGGCATTTGGGGGCATTTCAGGGCATCTTGGAGCTTTGAGACCTTGAGGGGCATTTTTGGGTGTTTCAGAAGAACGTTTGGGGACATTTTGAGGTGTTTGGGGGCCTTCAGAGGGTCTCGAGACTTTGGGGCAGAGTTTTAGGGTGGCACTTTGGGGTGCTTCTGAGGCTTTGGGGGCATTTCAGGATGTTTTGGGGCATTTCAGGGCGTCGTGGTGATGTTTTGGAGTGGCACTTTGGGGCATTTCAGGGTGGTGTTTGGGGGCATCTGGGGACCTCTTGGGACATTGCAGTGGCCTTTTGGGGGGTATTTTGATGGCACGGGTACAAAATGACGTTGAGGGGCATCTGAAGTGCTGGGGCAGTGTTTTGGGGTACTTTGGGGTATTTCAGGGCAGTGTTTCACGATGGTATTTTCAGAAGCTTTGGAGTCTTCTAGGCCATCATTTGGGGTCTTCTAGGGCAGCATTTGGAGTCTTTTAGGACATCATTTGGGGTGGTTTGGGATGTTTTGGGCATCGTGGTGGTGTTTTGGAATGTTAGGGGGCACTGCCAGGTGTTCGGGGCTGTATTTTGGGGTGTTTTGAGGCATTTTGGCGTACTGTTTTGGAATGGCTTTCTGGGAGGCAACGTTTTGGGATTGCCGTGAGCTCACCACCCACCTCTCTGCAGGGTCTGGGATGCTCTCACCGATGGCTTCGCCCCTCGGGGCTCCCCCCGGCCCTGGCTGCTCCCTGAGACTGAGGGCCCCAATGGCACCGACCCCCAGGTACAGCTGTGGCCCCTCCTTGGCTCCCCAAAACCTCCCTGTCCCTGCATGACTCCCTGGTGACACTTGACAGCTGTCAATCAGCCCCAGGGCTCAGCACCCATCAAAGCACTTCAAAGTGCCCAAGAATGGTATTTTTGGGGTGCCACAGCCCCGGTGTAGCAGGTGGGGTTATTTTCTGCTAAAAAGGTGAAATAACCTGTGAAAGGTGGTAAAAAAGGTGCCTCCCTGTCCAAAATCTCCATCCAACATCTCTATCCATCATCTTCCCATCCAGCATTCCCCTCTGACATCTCCCTGTCTAATGTCCCGTCCAATGTCTCCATCTGACCTCTTCCCCATACAGTGTCACCATCCAGCATCCAGCATCCCCATCGTCTCCATCCAGCATCTCCAACATCTCCCCATCCAATGTCACTGCCCAATATATTAATGAAAACATCTCTCCATCCCACTTCTCCATCCAACATACCTGTACTTCTCCTTGTCCAAATTCCAAGTCCTGTGTCTCCATCCAGCCACCCCCCATCCAACATCTCCATCCATCTCCTTGCAATACTTCCCCACCCAACACTTCCCTGTTCATCATCTCCCTCTCCAGTGTCTCCAGCATCCCCATCCAGTGTCCCTGTGCATAGTCCATATGCGAAGTCCCAGCCAACATCCCTGTCCAGCATTTTCCTGTCCAACATCTCCATCCATCTCTGTCCAGAGTCCCTGTCCAACTTCTTTCCATCCAATGTTCCCATCCAACGTCTCCATGCAATGCCCTCATCCAATATCTCCCCATGCAATATCTCTATCCATCTCTGTCCGGTGTCCCTGTCCAACTTCTTCTCATCCAGTGTTCCTGTCCAATGTTCCATCCAATGTCACCATCCAACATCTCCACCTAGTGCCCTCATCCAGTATCTCCCCATCCAACGTCTCCCTGTCCAACGTCCCCATCCATGTGTCCCTGTGTGAACCCCTCCATGCAGTGTGTCCCCCTGAGCTGTGGTTCTGTGGTGGCTCTCCCCGTGCCAGGGCCAGGGCCATGCCTGGGGCCATGCTGGGGCCACGCCTGTGCCGGGCCAGGCCCGCGGTGCCACCAAGGCCGCCCAGCCTGTGTCTCCTGCAGCTCTGCGAGAAGGAGGAGGAGGAGGAGGAGGAGCTCACTGAGAGGAGCGAGCAAGACTCGGGCATTAACGAGGAGCCGCTGCTGACAGCTGAGCAGGTACCCCTGCCCCATGGGCATCTGGGCACCTGCGTGTCCCCCAAGCCAGGCGTCGGCCACCCCCCTCCCAACGTGGCCTCAGCCCACCCCAGCCCTGTGGCCACGTGCGGGAAAGTTGCCTAAAAAAAATGGCCAACCCCCATTGTCTTGGGATGCAGGATGCAGGTTTGGATGCAGATGGAGGGGCAGGTTGTGGGTGCCCTGGTGGGATATAATAATAATGGGTACAAGCTTAGTCAGGGGAGATTCAGGTTGGATGTTAGGAAGTATTTCTTCTCTGAAAGGGTTGTCAGCCACTGGAATAGGCTGCCCAGGGAGGTGGCTGAGTCCCCATCCCTGGATGTGTTTAAGAATAGGGTGGATGAGCTACTTGAGGATATGGTTTAATGGGCATTAGGGACGGTTGGACTCGATGATCTCTGAGGTCTTTTCCAACCTAGAAATCTATGAATCTATGATATGGGTGCAGGTGGGAACGTGGGGTGTGGGTGCTGGAGGCAAATGGGTGGCACGGGGTGAAGGATGGAAACATGGAGGGGCTTTTTGGCTGGAGGATGCAGGTGCGGAGGTGGGATAAGATGTGGGATGGAGGGTGCAGGTGCCAGGTGCAGGGGATGGGTTCTAGGTGCTGGTTCCAGCTGCAGGGCACAGGTTTCAGATGCAGGGTGCCAGCTGCAGGGAGTGGGTTCCAGTTGCTGGTTCTAGATGCGGGGTGCAGGTTCCAGGTGCAGGTTCCATGTGCAGGGTGTGTGATGCAGATGCAGATTCCAGATGCGGGGTGCTGGTTCCAGATGCAGGGTGCATGTTCCAGGTGCAGGGTGCCAGTTTGAGCTGCAGGGCGCAGGTGCCAGATGCAGGGTGCCAGATGCAGGATGCAGGTTCCAGGTGCATGTTCCAGTGGCAGGGGGCAGGGTGCAGGTGCCAGATGCAGGGTGCGGCTGCTGGATAGAGGGTGCAGGTGCAGGTGCACGATCCAGGACACAGGTTGAAGATGAAGGGAGCAGGTGGCAGATGTGGGTGCCGGAGATGGTCGCAGGGTGCAGGTGCAGGACGTAGCCATGGGCTGCAGGGTGCAGATGGGAGAGGGAGGTGGGATGCGGGTGCAGGTGGAGGACACCGACGCCTGGCAGGTCATCGAGGAGCTGGAGGAGCTGATGCAGAGTTCGCCCGACCCCGAGGCTGACCCTGACGGTGATGAGGAGGAAGAGGAGGAGGAGGAGGAGGAAGAGGAGGAGGAGGAAAATGAGGCTGATGGTGAAGGCGGTGGCGGGGGCACGGAGCCCATCCTGCTGCGTGAGCTGCGTGCGTTCTCCCCTGCCTTCAACAACAACTGCTCCCATGAAGGTAACGGCCAGCAAAACCTGGGCCAGTCACTTTTCGGGACGCGTTGCACGACGCTGCGGAGCGCTCGGCGTTTTGCAGGACGCACCGTGGTGTCGCGCACCGTCCGTTCTCCGTGCGCACCGAGCTTTCTGCAACGCTCGCCCAGCTTTTTGCAGAAAGCCCGTGCACACGTTGCGTTTCACTGTTTGCACCCTGTGCTTTGGGGAGTGCCCTGCACGGTGCATGTTGCTAACTGCAGCATGCATTTTGCGGAGCATTTCGCTCCCCTCATTGCACCAGTTGCCACTATCTGTGCTGGGCACCGTGCATTTTCCTAAATCCGTGGAAAATCTGGTGGTGGTTTTCACTTGCCACGTTACAAGAGCACCGTGCTGCTGAGCGCCCCACGCAGCGTGCATTTAACTGATTGCAGCGTGCACCAGGCTTCCCACCAATGGCACGGTGCATGCCGCTAATCGCCCCAGGCATTTTGCTAATTGCTCTGTGCACTCCCCTAATTGCACCGGGCATTTCATTTGTTGCACCGTGCACGTCGCTAATCGCACCAGGCAACTCTGCAGTTGCTGGGCATTCCAGTAATTGCACACTGTGTTTGTTTTTTGGTGTTCCCCGTGCGTCTCATTGATCACCTGGTGCATTTTAACAGTTGCAGTGTGCATGTCACTAATTGCACCGTGCGTTTCATTCGTTGCACTGTGCATTTCACTAATTGCCCTGGGAATTTCACTAAATGCAGCCCGCGTGTTCGCTTGCACTGTGCATGTCACCAGTTGCACAGACGTGTCACAAATTCCCCCAGCCGTGCCAGTAATTGCATTGTGCATATCACTAATTGCGCCAGGCCTGGTGCTAATTGCACCAGGTGTTTCACTCCTGCACTGTGCATTTTGCTGATTGCTCCAGGCACGTCACTGGTTGTGTCAGGCGTGTTACTAATTGCACCAGGAATGACACTGACTGCACCAGACCTTGCTAATTGAACTGGGCGTGCTGGTAATTGTCCCGGGCAGTTCCCCCGTTGCACCGTGCATTGCACTTACTGCACTGGGCGTTTCACCAGTTGCACCGGGCATCAGCCTGATAATTGCCCCCTGTATCTTAATAATTGCAGTGTGCATCTCACTAATTACGTCACGCCATTTTGCAAACCTCAGGGTGTGTTTCCTTCATTGCCACTAGTTGCACGGTGTATGTCACTAGTTGCACCAGGAATTTCATTTATCACACTGTGCATTTCACTAATTGGACCCCGCTAATCACCCCTGCACCTTAATCATTGTGCTGGGTGTCTTCCTATTTGCATGATGCATTTTGCAAACTTCAGCATGTGTTAGCTGATTGCACCAGGTGTTTCCCTAGTTGCAGTCTGCATTGCACTTAAGTGCCTCACTGGTTGCACTGGGCAGCCTGCTGATCACCTTGTGCATCTTAATAATTGCAGCCTGCTTTGCACTAATTGCACGAAGCGTTTTGCAGACTTTAGTGTGTGCATTTTCCTAATTGCACCATGCACATCAGGGATTGCACCGGGCTTTTGAGTAATTGCTCCAGGCATGTCACTGGTTGCACTAGACATTTCATTTATTGCACTGTGCATTGCACTTATTGCACTGGGCATTGCACTTACTGCACCAGGCATTGCACTGATTGCACTGGGCATTGCACTTGTTGCACTGGACATTTAATTTATTGCTCTCTGCATTGTACTTAACCACACCAGGCAGTTTATTTACTGCACTGTGCATTGCATTTACTGCACCGGGCATTGCACTTGCTGCACTGGGCATTGCACTTATTGCACCAGGTGTTTAATTTATTCCACTGTGCATTGCACTTACTGCACCAGGCATTGCACTGATTGCACTGGGCATTGCACTTGCTGCACTGTGCATTACACTTATTGCACCAGGTGTTTAATTTATTGCACTGTGCATTGCACTTATTGCATTGGGTGTTTAATTTATTGCACTGTGCATTGCACTTACTGCACCAGGCATTGCACTGATTGCACTGGGCATTGCACTTGCTGCACC